TATTCTCTAATACTGTTAAGAATTAGTAGTGGTGAAATGACGTATTCCTTTAATTTATAGTTTCAGAGGACTTCAAAAATGAGTTTGTGTTGTTTCCAGTTTCTGGCTATTACAAATAAACATGGTTGAGCAAATGTCCTTGTTGTAATGTGGAGCATCTTTCGGGTGTATGCCTAGGAGTGATATAGCTGGATCTTGAGTTATGGCTATTCTCAGTTTTCTGAGAAAGTGCCAGATTGAATTTTAAAGTGGTTATACAAGTTTGCATTTTCTGTTCCCCTTACTAGGGAATCCATTTGGATACTGAGCTGTCATGGGGTACATCTGAGCAGGGATTCTAGGTTATATCCATGAATGGTCCTTGGTTGGAATATCAGTCTCAGAAAAGATCCCTGTGCCCAAATACTTTGGTTCTGTTGCTTTTCTTGTGGAACTCCTGCCCTCTCCAGGTCTTACTATCTCCCTGTTCTTTCCTAGGATTCCCTGCACTCTGCCCACAATTTGTTTATGAGTCTCAGCATCTGTTTTGATACAATACTAGGTAGATAAGATAGGGTCAGATGGAAGGGGAGGAGAAGTTTCTCTATCTGTGGACTTGGAGAGGGGCATAGGAGGAGATGAGGGAGGCAGGGTGGGACTGGGAAGGGAGGAAAGAGGGGACTACAACTGGGATACAAAGTGAATAAACCATGATTAATAAAAAATAAAATTTTAATTAAAAAATAACCAACAAACAAACAAGTTTGCATTCCCACCAGCAATGGAAGAATGTTCACCTTTCTCTACATCCTTGCCAGCATGTGTTGTCATCTCAGTTTTTGATCTTGGCCATTCTGACAGGTGTCAGAATCATTTTGATTTGCATTTCCCTATTGACCTAGGACACACTGAGCATTTCCTTAAGTACTTCTCTACTATTCTAGATTCCTCCATTGAAAACTCTCTTTAGCTCTGTATTCCATTTTTAATTGGATTATTTCATTTGCTGCTGTTTAATTTCTTGAGTTCTTTATGGATATTAGCCCTTTGTATGATATAGGATTGGTGAAGATCTTTTCCCAATCTGTAGACTGCTATTTCATTCTATTAATAGTGTCCTTTGCTTTACAGAAGCTTTTCAGTTTTAAGAGATCTCATTTATTAATTGTAGATTTCAGAGCCTAGCTGTTGGTGTTCTGTCCAGGAAGTTTTCTCCTGTACCAATGAGTTCAAGGCTCTTACCCACTTTCTCCTCTAGAAGATTTAGTGTATCTGATTTTATGTTAGGTCTTTGATCCACTTGGACTTGAGTTTTGTGCAAGGTGGTAAATATGGATATATTTGAATTTTTCTACATACAGACACCCACCCAGTTTGCCAGAACCATTTTTTAAATTTTATTTTTTTCTTATCAGTTACATTTTATTAACTCTGTATCCCAGCCGTGTCCTGATCTCTCATTCCCTCCCTCCTCTCCATTTTTTAAAGATGTCTTTTTTTTTTCATTTTGTGGTTTTGGCTTCTTTGTCAAAAATCAGTGTGCATAGGTATGTAAATTTATTTCTGGGTCTTCAACTCTATTCTGTTGATCTACCAACCTATTTCTTTGCCAGTACCATACAGTTTTTATTACTATTGCTCTGAAATATAGCTTGTGGTCAGTAACGGAGATAACTCCAGCTCTATCATTGCATAGGTTTGTTTTCACTATTCTGGGGTTTTTGTTTTTCCATATGAAATTTAGAATTGTTCTTTCAAGGTATGTGAAAATTTGTGTTGATATTTTGAGGAGGATTGCATTGAATCTGTAGATTGCCTTTGATAAGATGGCCATTTTTACTATGTTAATTCTACTGATCCATGAACACGGGAGATCTTTCCATCATCTGGTATCTTCTTCAATTTTTCTCTTCAGAGACTTAAAGTTCTTGTCGTACTGGTCTTTCACTTGCTTGGGTAGAACTATTCCTTGATACTTTATATTATTTGTGGTTATTGTGAAGGATGTAGTTTTCCTAATTTCTTTCTTAGCTCATAAAAAATGTTTCACAAAAAAAGAGTGAGTTGATGTTATGACTACTTTTATGACAGTACAGTATTATATACCAAGCAAACCAAGATACCATAGGATGCCATTTAAGTAGTATCTAAAGGCTACACTATGAAGAAATGGCAGAACTTATATATAGTGACACATTCCTTTAATCACAGTTCTCAGGAAGTTGATACAGAAGAATAAGGAGTTCAAGGTCAGTCAGGGCAGTCAGTCTACATAACTAGACACAATCTTAATATTTAAAGAAAACAAGGCAGAGAAGAAAGGGTAAGATAGTAAAAGGAATACAGGTGAGAAGATTAAGTGTGAAAAGGCAGATGAAGTGCAGAAGGAGATGAAGAAGTAGCAGGTAGTGGAAGAAGTGGAAGAAGAGGAGAAAAAAAGGGGCAGAGAAGGGGAAGAAGCAGAAACAACCACAATGAAAAATTTCAGAAAGTAAATTGAAGGGATCTGTTCCTGAAAGAGGCTTTGACCTAGAGAAAACTGAGCATATATCAGTTCTCACCATACAGCTCTGCTTCAGTCTTGAAGTGGAAAGAGTTCTGAAGCAAAGCAGATTCATGGCAATCATAACTATACTGGGACCTCAAACCACAGGGTGTGTTTAGACAAACCCCTAAGAATAAGGATCCTGTGTTGTTGGTTGCTTGTTAATTGGACAGAGCATGAACTGGTCTAGGCATGAGCAACAAATGACAACATAATTGAGAACTTAAGGGAAGATGATATTCAGAAGATTATTTCAGATTGAGATATGTATTGTCAGTAAAAGGAAAACATAACATCTTCAATGCACAATCATTTTTATACAGTCTTTTATATATATGACTGTCAGTAAACTGAGAGAACTTCCAGGAAATTGATTATATTTTAATATTTTTTAAAATACTTATCAGATGCATAAGATTCTAATCTCATAAAATATTGATCAATAGTATCCTATGAACAACTTTCTAGGCATCAACATAACTTATATTTAACCATTGTCATTTGGAAAACAATAAATGCCTTGGGGACCCTAAAGGTTTAAGTAAACTGTGTAGCACATACTTATGTATAGCACTGACTTTCAAGTAAGGGACGAAAGCTGAATGCAGTTCCTTCAGAGGTTAATTGACACCTTTTATGAACATATGGTAAATTTTTTGCAGAATATAAGTTTAATAAATACTTTGTGATATTAATAAACTAAAGAGAAAAAATGAGAACCTCATTATAGAAAGTAATATATAAACATTTTTAAGGAAGGACACAGTAAGTAGTAGTTTGTTGTAAAGGATACAATTTAAAACACCAAATTTATGAACATTTGATTCAATGAGTCTTTTGAGTTTATCTTAATTATTTCAAGGAATTATTGACAATTTAATATTGATCAAATCAGCAGTTTCTAGCACTTTAGAGAATCATAAGTGATATGACTTAGTCACTTCACTTATATTTGCGTTTATTTTCAGACACCTCCACTTAGCAGGATGTCCAAGTTGCCACTTTTCTTGAAGGAATGATAGCAGAAATTTATTATTGATACTTTAAAATAGTCATCTTTCTTCTAAATACATCTGAGTTGATGGTTTCTACATGAACACAAACATTTTAATACAGAAAAAAAATTTCAGATAATGCAATGGATATTATCTAAATGCTTGATTTTATTGCAAATATTCATTGCAATGACTCATTGGTCCAGTATGAGGCCACTGGATTCTGATATACTATCACTGCTAGAACCTCATTGGAACTTCTCTTGGATATCATGTTATTGCAGTGTGTCATGGAGATCCTGCAGTTTTTGAGCCTGTAGGACTGGCCCTTACATGCACTCCAGCGGTTCAGCCATGAAGAAGATCTTAGGGTTGGCTGATTCAAAACCCTGGATCTGGGCCTGAAGGGTATCTGAGCTGGTCAGCCAGCTCTCCCACTCTCATGCTCTCAGGACCGGCACACCTGCAACCCTCACAATCAGAGCTAGCTCTACCCTGATGCACAGGTGAGGTTCAGAGCCTACTGTCCTGAATCCTGCAGCAAGTGAGGGGCAGGGACTGCTCTACTGCTCTCCTGAACTCAGGGACAGCTCTCCCATCAGCTGTAGGTGGCAGGGATGAAAGTGAGGAAGGACATTTCTCCCTCAAACATGCTGCCTCACAACAGACATTTTGTGAGACCAGCTCTCCCATGCTCACACTCTTAGGGCCAGCTCACCCATGCCTTTGCCATCGAGGCCAGCTCTATCCTGCTGCCCAGGTGAGGTACAGAGCCTGCTCTCCCTACTGTTACAGCGGGTGAAGGGCAAGCCCACTCTCCTGCTCTCTTGACACAGGGGACAGGCCTCTGACCTGCCACTGGTAGACAGGGATGAGGGATAGGTGTGCATCTTTCCTTCATCAATGCCAAGAGGGTGGGGGGAAAGGGACAGCTCTCCCAAACTCATACCCTTGAGGCCAGCTCACTAGCAGGCAAAGCCATGTGGGACCATGGTGGGTTCCTCACCTGTGCTGCCACTGCGAGCCAAGACTGCCACCAAATTCCAGGCGATTGTCACTGGTCAGGGCTACTGCCCAAGGACATGTTAATGGCTGAGGGCTGTGCCGAACTGGCTCCATCCCTCACCTGGGCGTCGTAGGAGAGCTGGGCCTGGGGTCCGGAGAGCAGGAGAGCTAATCCTGCAGCAAGCCAGTTGCAATATTTGGGAGAGGCATCCTGCTCTCTCGAGCATGCTTCATCTCCAGACCCTTGCGTAGCCAAACTGATGGTCATCTTAGTCTGTCTCCCTGTCCAGGCCCCATAGCAGCTGTCTGGTGATGGTTTCTGGCTCGTGCCTCCTGAGTCACCGGAGAGACCCCATGTGAGGGTCATCCTTCTTGTGCCCACGGCTGCCAGGGGACCACAGTTTCAGGAGGTATTCTCAGGCTAGCAACCCCTGGCCCTGGACTGTTGGTGGTCTCAGGTTTCCTGCTTTTCAGGAAACGTTAGGCTGCTAATCATTCAGATGTTCACAGGTCATAATACTGAGCACAGACACAGCCTGGCTCCTCATGTCATAAACTGACACGCATGTGACACAGCCACCACACTTTCAAGGCCTCTAAGGGTAGTAAAACTTCTCTGTTTACCTTTTGAATTCACTGTGCCAAGAAAAAAGAAAAAAAAAAAGAAGTTAAAGAGTAAACATTCTTGTTTACTTGCAGTTTCCTGGGGTTATCTGGAAACTATTATTACAGGAGCCTTACAATTTAAAATTTCTGCAAATGTACTTTGACAAACTTCAACATAAAAACAGAAATGCCAGTGTAGACTTAAGTGATTTTTCTCTATTACACAAGCTTGATAAAATAATTCCTAGGTATGAAAACAAAAGCGTTTCCTCCATTCTCAGATGGCAAGACAAAAACAGTCAAACTTTAGGTCACAGTTGGTAAGGGAAGAGGGCCCCCATTTCTGAGGAATAGGGGACAAGGATAGGGGGGTAAAGTAGGGAGGAGGAGAAGAGAGAGGGGACTAAAACCAGTATGTAAAATGAATTAATTAATAAAAAAAAAAATCCTAGCCACCCCAAAATACATTTCAGAATCTCCTCAGCTAGCACTAGGTAATACATAAATACTTTATTTGCATGTCACTGCTAGAATGTGTAGAACTATACAGATTTTAGTTTTGTTTTTATTTTATTGCCTCTTTTTAAAATTTTTATTTATTTATTTTTTATATTATTTACTTTATTTACTTTGTATCTCAGCTGTAACCCCCTCCCTCATCCCCTCCGAATCCCACCCTCCCTTCCTCATCTCTTCCCTGCCCCTCTCCAAATCCACTGATAGGGGAAGTCTCCTCCCCTTCCATCTGACCCTAGTTTATCAGGTCTCATCAGGGCTGGCTGCATTGTCCTACTTTGTGTCCTAGCAAGGCTGCTCCTCCCTCGGGGGGGGGGGGGGAGGTCAAAGAACCAGCCACTGAGTTCATGTCAGAGACAGTCCTTCTTCCCTTTACTAGTGAAGTGTTGAGCTGCCATGGGCTACTTCTGAGCAGGGGTTCTAGATTATATCCTTAAAGGATGATAAAATGCTGCCTTACACCAGAGATATGTTTCAATCTTGGTTGTATCTTAGTAGTATCTTCTCTAGTAGAAAAAAAAAGTTAGTAGTATTTTCTCTAGTAGAAAAAAAAGTTAATTAGTTACATTTACACTATTTACATTTGTTTAGTGATGGCAACTGCTATGACCGAGATGCTGACTTGAACAAATTATTTCTTCTAACTCATTTGTTCTGTTGCTAGACTCTTTTGTGTCCATGGATTAGAATGAAACAGAAAACACTGAAAAGTTCTCTTTGGAGGACAGAATTGAGCTCTACCGATATAATTCTCCATCTTCAATATAGTTTCCACTTTCTGATATTAATTTCAAGGTTTGATGATTTTTTCTTACCCTTTTAGACAACTAAAATAAAAAAATAAACTTTTTCCCTGTAGCAAACATAATTTTGATCAGCCTTTCCATATTAATGCTAACATTTTATGGATATTTATCTGTATTTTTAAAGATTATTAAATTAATAATTTTCATGATCTATTTGATTAGAAGAAAGTAGAAATTATGTGGATACATTCAATTCAGATTACTTGTACTTTGTAACTATTATTTTATCTAATTTTATGAGTTAGTATGTTCTTTGTGACAAAAATACCTGGAGGAATACCTTAAAAAGAAAAGATGTATTTTGATTTGTGCTTTCAGGTTGTTTATTCTGTTTGACTTGTCCAGTCACTTTTTGCTTGTATTTTAAACAACACAGAAAATGCACTGTCATTTCAATAAAGATTAACAGTGTCATTTGAGCAGAAGTCAAGAATGCTCAGGAAGTCAACAAAAGCCTCATTGTTCCCTCACCTACATGAATAAAAAACATCTTGAACATCTCAACTCATGTAGACCAGGCCACACCTTGACTAGCTTGCAGAATAATGTGCTTCAACGCATATGAAGTTAATGAATATATAAATAATATTCTTCAATGACATTTTCATAATGCTCATTTTATTAAAAACAGCAATTTATTAACTTTTATTCAATTAATGAGCAAATAGGCTTTCTTGTTTATCAAATTTGTGAGATTTCAGGAAGTCCCTGGAGAACATCAAGCCCATTTCCACTTCTATTAAAGTTTTTATACATGTGCAGAAAATTGGAACATTCAAGTTTTGGTTAAACCATCTTTGGATAGGAATGCATGTTGACATGCTATGAAGTAACAGCATGCACTAAATGCTGGATTGGGATTTCCTGAGTGTATTTTCAAAAATGAAAGCTCTTCCAAGAATGACAACATAAGCATGGCTCTATTCATTACTTTCTGGTTTCTGGTACCAGATTGTATGATAGTTATAATTAGAATATGGCTTACTTCCCAACAATTCAAGTATTTTTTAAAATTAATCAAAAGACACAGAAAATTGATAGGATATATGGGTAAATGAAGTGTTTGTGTTATCTCATTTATGTAGGACATAAAGATAAGGCTTCGTTAGGTATTAGCATCACTTGTACTTTTATTTATAGTTTAGTTACTTCAGACAGGTTCTCTTATAGTCCAGTATAGCCTGGAACTCACCTCACATACCTATGGATCACTTCGAATTCCCTCTCCTCCTTCCTCTATGTCCTTTTTGATTAGATTATAAACACAGACTGTCACATTGAACTAAAAGTCTTTAGTAATAATACAGACACAATATTAGAATAAAATAGTTTAACACTAAATAGTAATATTTTTTTCATATCATTTTAGTATTTAGTAATTTTTGCTTTTATTTCATTGATAACTCATTACTATTCTTTGTAATAGCACCAACAGTAATGACTTCTATTGGATTCAGTGTGGTTTTTTTATACTTTCATTGAAAATTTTCTACAATTTAGTAGTACTTTGATATTCAATTCAAGTAATGTATATCTGTAAAAGCAATATATTCTTCCCATTGTCTGAAACTAAATATTATAAAAGCATAGATTTTCACTAGAGAGGTGTGATGATCCCAAAGGTGTATATCTCTCATAGACAGACTAACCATGTTGCTTTAAATGACTGATAGTTCTCTCAGTGACATACAGGGCTCTTCTGTGGGATATGGCTCATCAACCCAGCAGACAAATAATGTCAAGTTAGTAATACAACTTCACACTGAACAATTATTTGGCCTGAGTTATCTTATTATATATGACTTATATAAATCTGTTTGTTATTAGCAAATATGATAGTCCAAAAGATGAAAGTTTTTAAAACGTCACAATTTTGAAGTTATTCTGTTCTATGTATAGTGATTTCCAAACCAGTCACAGCTACATAGCAAAAACCTGTTTAAAAACAAGTTCATGTCAGTGGCTGGCTCTTTGACCTTCGCCCCTGAGAGAGGAACAGTCTTACTAGGCCACAGAAGAGGACATTGCAGCCAGTCCTGATGAGACCTGATAAGCTAGGTTCAGATGGAAGGGGAGGAAAACCTCCCCTATCAGTGGACTTAAAGAGGGGCAGGGAGGAGATGAGGGGGCATGGGATTGGGAGGGAATGAACGAGGGAGCTTCAGCTGGGATACAAAGTAAATAAACTATAATTAAACAAAAAATAAAATTTTAATTAAAAAAAGAAAGGGAGGAGGACCCCCCCCCATCAGTGTACTAGGGAAAGGGCATAAGAGAAGAGGAAAGGAGGGAGGGATTGGGATGAGAAGAGGGAGGGGGCCGCAGCCAGCGTACAAAGTGAATATATATATTACTTATATATAAGTAATAAAAATTTTTAAAAAGACATAAGAAACAACTATATAGACAAAAAGATTACCAAACATCATTTATTGCTGCTTGAAATAGATCTTCTGTATTTTTTTCAATAGTATATCCTAAATGATGAGTGGAAAGGAATACTTAAGATGGTAAGCCACTTAAAAAATAGGAAAGCTATAACAACATATAGAAGTTAGTAAAAATATAATTATGAAGACTAATGGCTTTAGGAAACATTGTAGGAGATAGTGAGTCAAGATCAGAGATTGTGTGAGAAAAGGGTTTACATGGAGAACATTTTGTATTTCATCCACTGCATGAACAGGGTATGTACAAATGATATGTGTTTGTTTAAAATAATAGCTTTCATATTTTTAGTAAAGACTGAATCACAGATATAGCGATTACATTAAGAAAAAGCCAGCATGATGATAAAATTCAAATAGAAATGAAAACTTTTTAAGTCATATTTTTTGTGTAACCTATTAGGTACTAATAACTATAATGGAAGTATGTGAAATTTTGTACAATAATAAAATTCAGAAATTAGCACTCCAGAAAGTTTATAGATACAAGGCATATTTTTTGGCATAAAGTGTTTAGAAAGAGACCATTAAAATTACAAAAGATAGAACTAAATCTATAAACATACTTGATTTTATATACAAATGTATTATTACAAATAATTCAATGATATTTTCTGCCTGTTTTCCCATAAACATACTCAGATGATAAATAGGATGCATCTTTTTATTAATCAACATCAACTAAATAAGAAAAATAACTTCCTTGACCAAATTTGTGTCTTGTACTAGTCTATAGATATGAATATAATTAACTAGAAGGCATTTCTGAAAACATGTCCATTTAATAAAACCTTTCTCTCTCTCTCATTAGAAAAAAAAGCTTCAAGGAGATAATAACAAAACTTTACTAAATAAAATATAAGAACATAAAATGAAAGCTATCATTTTAAAGTTGGACAACACAAACCAACAGGAAAGTTAAAAATCTCCAAATGAAGGCACAAGAATCAGAGACACACTTGTTCACACATCTAGGAGTTCCAGTAAGAGTACTATGCCAGAAGCTATGGAATACATGCTGGGAAAATGGTGTAGACCCATAGAGGCCCTTAAGCCTTGTGCATGCTGCCTCAGTTTCTGTGAGTTCATATAAGCCTTTCTCAGTTGTTTCAGAGAGTCTTGCTCTCCTCTTATCCTCTGTCCCTCCATCTCCCACACCCTTTCTGCTTACTCTTTCACAGGGGTTCCATGAGCTATGAGAGGAGGGATTTGATAGAGATATCCTACTTAGA